AGGCCTCAACTCCAGCTACTTTCTAGGGTGATTTGTGTGCCCAGAATATTCTCCCCTTGTGTTGCCTTGCCTGGTTAATGACCTCTTGTCCTTCAGGTGTCCATTCATGTCACTTCCTCTGGAAAGGCCCCCATGTTCCCCTGACCATAGATTCTCATGGGTCCAGCTCTTTTCCATAATAGCACTGACCATGGTTTGCCCTGTGGACTCACATCAGAGGCACATTTAACTAACACCAACTTTAGAACTTATCCTCCAACCACTGACCTCCAAAGATGCAACTCCAGAATTTGCTGTTATCCTTACAAAAACAAACTAACCTTTTAACATGCGTGAAGATGATAGATGCTTAATATAAAGGCAGATTGGAATCGCCCCTGCAGCAGCCAGGAGCACTCCCGAATTCTCTGCCCAATCTCAATTCATCCTTAGAGGTGGGGTCTTTTTCTTAAAGGCAGAGCGGCTTCAATGTCCAGATATCTCAACACAGCCTTTCCTCTAGTTACTTCCTTCAGCCTAGTTCTCAGACCTAAGTGTGCAAAAGAATGACTGTGCATTACAGGTAATTTAAGGGCTTTCAAAGGTAATTTTGAATGACATGCCCTTTCCACCTGAGTGCTGACTTTAGAACTGAAGCCCCTTCAGAGACACCCTTGCTATAATATGCATGTGAAAGAGTATTGAATTTCTGTCTCCCACCCCGCCCCAGAAGCCCCATGAAGATCTGTTTGGCTCATCTCTTTGCACCCAAATCCAGCCCCAGGCTGGGCACAGAGCGGTACCCAGTAAATGATTTCCGAAGGAATGAATCACACTTGCTTACTTGTGGAATTAAAACTGGAAGTGGTCTGTGCGGGGCTAGGTGGCTACAGGTGCTCTCACTTCTCAAGGCCAGAAGCCACTTATGCATCCATGTGTACCTGCTCCCCTGCGTGCACAAGCCAGAAGCAGTGTGTGCATGTGGATGTGTGGATATTTATTTGCTCACACACTTATGTGACAACCAGAGGCAGTTTTCTATTTTTGGCAGTTACATTTGTATCAGTTTCCTATTGCTGCTGGAATCAGCACAATCAGCTTCCTATTGTGCTATTACCATAAACTTAGTGGCTTAAAAGAAGACGGTTGTGTCTTACTGTTGGAGGTCAGCAGTTCAAAATGGGTCTCACTGGCTAACCTCAAGGTGCAGGCAGGGCCACATTTCCTGTGGGGGCTCTGGGGAAGAATCCATCTCCTTGCCTTCTCAGCTTCTACAGCTGCAGTCCTTGGCTTGTGGCCCCTCCTCCATCTTCAAAGCCAGCAGCACAGCATCTTCAACTCTCTCTCTGCTTCTGTCTTCACACTGCCTTCTCTCTTACAAGGACCCTTGTGATTACATCGTGCCCACCCTGGTAATCCAAGATGATCTCCTCATTTTAAGATCCTTAATAACATCTAAAACGTGTCCCTTTTGCCATATAAGGTAACATTCCCAGGTTCTGGGGATCAGGACCTGTTCCTTTGGGTGGACATTATTCAGCCTACCTTGCTCTATTGAGCAAGATGCTCAACACGTGTTTGGTAAATTGCATCATAAGAAAGGGAAGAGCTACTGCCCCAGAAGAGAGCCAGAACAGGAGATCCCGGAGCTGCAAGAGCTGAGAAATCCTGGGCACGATATAACCCAAGGCCCCTCCCGACTGGGAGGAGGGGCTGAATCATCACCGGCTTCTCCCCTAAGGCGTTGCTGTTTCTTGGCGCCTGGAATCCTGGTAACTCCTGCCCCAGTCTTTTCTAGGTAGCAAAATTTTTGTTCTTATTTTATATCTTGAAGAAACAATTTACGAGTTTGTTACCAAAGAATAGAATCTTGATTTCTATTTATCAATTAATTGAAAAAAAGAACTGATTATTTTGGTTAAGCATGAACTTTGGAGTCAGAAAGACCTGGATTCAAACCTAGGCCCTGCCACTTAACTAGCTGTAAACAGTAATTTTATCTCTGTGAGGAGCCTCAGATGATATGTTTTGTTTTGTTTTTGATCTGTAAAATGGGGATAATAACAGAGCCTCTATCATAAGCTGGTTGTGACAAATAAATAAGATAATGTATATTGTGGTTCTCAAACTGTGGTTCCCAGACCAGCCACATTAACATCACCTGTGAATTAGCCCCCACCCATGACATTCTGAATCAGAGACTCTTGGGGTGGGGAGCTGCAATCTGTGTTGCAAGAAGCCTTCCAGAGAATTCTGGTGTCACTCAAGTTTGAAAGCCAGTGATATATGTATATATATATCAGGCTCTTTATGCCTGGCACTACGTATATATATAAAATTATACATTTGTATATACATATATATACATATGTATATATATAAAATATACATATAATATATATTATATGACATATAATGTGCTAGGCATACGGAGCTTGGCACACAATAGCACTTGACAAATGGTTCTCATTATTGTTACCATTATTCTTTTCTATTGGTAGTTCTAGCACATTCTGAGATGTTGAGTTGGGTATGTATCCCTCTCCCCTCATGTCCTGCAAACACTGTACATATTAGGGAGGTCTCCTAATGCAGTCTGTCACCCACACAGCTGCCCTTTCATGAGGGGGTCTTCTAGCCTCCCCTTTCTATTTCTCCAGGCAGGATAAGCCCCAGGTCAAGCCCTGCCCACCCGCATGCCAACTCTGCATGTCAGCTCTGCATGCACTGTGAAGACCTCCTCCCAGGTGCCTGTTCTCCAAGGTCCCTCAGCTGTGCTTAGGTCTCTCTCTGGCTGCAGGCGGCTCTCCAGCATGCCTGAGCCTCACACGAGGTCTGACCAGCCCTGAGAAGCAGGGGAGGTTTCCTTCTCTCATCTGGGACCCATGTTTCTACTTGGCTGCCTGGCGTTTGGCAGCTACTTCAACTTGCTGACTCACTCTGGTCTGAGGTCAACCCAAACCCCCAGGCCTTTTTCTCAGGAACTGCCTGAGCTCTGGTTGCTCAGAGTCCTTGCTGTGTGCAATTCATCTCTTAAAATTAACGTTTACTTTTGAATTACAAAGATAGTACATGCAGTAAGGAAAACACAAAGGGAATAAAATCAGTGGTAATGGTCATTTTTACTTTTTTTTTTTTAAGATTGGCACCTGAGCTAACATCTGTTGCCAAACTTCTTCTTCTTTTATTTTTTTTGGTTTCTTCTTCTCCCCAAAGCCCCCCAGTACATAGTTGTATATTCTAGCTGTAGGTCCTTCTGGCTCATGCCACATGGGACACTGCCTCGGCATGGCTTGACAAGTGGTGCTAGGTCCCCACCCGGGATCTGAACCCACGAAACCCTGGGCTGCCAAAGCAGAGCATGTGAACTTAACCACTTGGCCAGGGGGCTGGCCCCAGGAATGGTCATTTGTAAATGGGCTGATTTTCAAAAAATCATCCTATATTTTTATAATTAACAGCTCCACCCCGCAAGCAATTTCCATTTCTGGAGGAAGAAAAAGAATTGGAGAAAACAAAACTAATGTATCATAGGGATAATTATGAAGTCTAACATATATAGATATCTCTTGTCTCATATATAATTCGAATGTATGTCAGTGTATAATAATGTAAACTCATCTCCCAGAGACTGCCATTACAACTGTTTTGGGTGTAGCCTCCAGGTCTTTACAATTAACATCCTGTATTTTTAAACTTAAATCTAAGTCTAAACTTAGCACTGTATTTAGAGATAGACCTGGTTCAAATTCTGGCTTCTGTATTTATTTGGACAATTTATTTAACCTCTTGGAGCCTCAGTTTCCTCATCTGTAAAATGGGGGTGATAATATCTACTTCCCAGGATTGTGGTAAAGATGAAAATTAATGGAAATAAAGCACATAGTAAAAGCCTGCAAAAAGCTTATATGGGGTTGTCACTATTATTAACTCTTCACCTGGCCAACTGCTGCCCACTTCCTGATCCAGTCCGATGCCACGCCCCTTGAAGCCCTCCCTGGCTGCTCCCACACTTCCCACTCCCTGTCTTGCTGCTGTCCCGCGTCCACCCGTCTGTTAAAGCATTAGATACACGCTGCTGTGCCCCCTACACTCTTAAAACTCCTCCAGGGCAGAGGTCATGTCCACCTTGCTCATTTCTGTGTCCCCAGGGTCCAGCAGAAAGCGTGATTATGGTTGTCAGGAAGTGTGGGTGAGAGAATTAGAAAGTGCTGGGTAGGAATTTGTTGAAGGAATGGATGAATAAACACCGTGGAGATCGAACGCGTGGATGGATGAATGCATGAATGAGTCAGTAGCGGCAGGCATCCGCCCACCAGCCCAATCCTCTTTTCTCCTAAGGAGCTCGAATCCTCCATCTCCCAAAGTAGGCCTCCCCAGGTGGGGGAGCCGGGCTCCCGCCTCCCCGGGGTTGGGACGAGAGGCCCCGCCCCTCACAGCAGGAGCGTTGCTGGGGGCGGAGCCTTTCAAGGCCTCTAGTGATGGGCCTGTATGGGCGGGACAGGACGGGGCCCGATGGCCATCCGGGGCTGGGGGAGTGACCCGCGCCTAAGGAGGCGGGGCAGGAATCTATGCACCCACAGAACCAAACTGGTTTCCGCAAATGAAGACCCCCTCAGTCTGCGGCCCCACCCGAGGCGTGAGCTCTGAAGGGCCCCCGACTTAGCCGAGAAACTGAGGCCTTAGGGAGGGGAGGCGGCCGCCCGGGTGTCGGGGTGCAAGCCTGGGAGATGCTTCCCGTCCCACGTCTGACCCCAGCCAGTTGGTTCATTTAATGTGTAACCTTCGCTAAGACACGTCTCCTTCTCGGCTCCGGTTACCCCATCCCGGGAGCCCTTCCGCTTTGGCACGTTTGGGAATCTTAACTCTTTCCCAGGCAACCTCCAAAAAATCTCCGAAAGCAAAACAAAACCCGAAACCTGATACTCAACACCACTGAGCAGACCCTTAGGAGCAGAGCGCTCAGAGGCAAACGGAAAAGCTGTTACCTTGGGCTCCTTCCCTGCTTTCGGTTTCCTTACCTGTAAAACGGCCATTGACAGTAACTGCTCCCCCAGCACGGGGTGGCTGTGAGGGCCAGGAGAGCTGTCTACATAAACTGCTTTGCAAGGGCTGGGAGCATATTACTTTTACTCTCTGCTGGTAGCTTCAGGCCCAGCCCTTCCTGAGGCCGACCCGCCCCCCCCCCCCCCCCCACACACCCCCTCAGCCTGTGACAGTGGCAGAAGTAAGAGGGCCTCCTGGGGACGTTCCTGAGCCTGGTGTGGCCGCAGCTAAAGAAGCTAGTCTGGGTCCCCTGTGTTGAGAGGCTGGCTGGTCTCAGGGCCTGCCGGGAAGGGAGTTTTTAGAGAAGGAAATGGTTGTGGTGAGACAGAATGATGGAGCAACTTCTCGGGGAGCTGAGTGGAAAGCCCCTTGCTCCTGGTGAGTTCTCATGGTGGGATGTGGGGCAGGCGCTGCGCCCCGCCCATCCTCCGTCACCTCAGAAAGTACCTGGCGTTCACCAAGTGCTGTGATGGGGCAGCAACAGGTCCCAGCTTGTGGCGCCTCAGGCCAGCCACTTGCCATCTCTGGGCCTTGGAACCTCCCTCTCCCCGGAGAGGTTTCCCAGGGTCACCCGGAGGCTGGTGCCACTAGTCAAGCCTATCTTCTGCTACTCCAAGGGACGGCTCAGGGAAAGAGCCTTTGGAGTTGGCTCCTGATTTGCTGGTGACATGGGGGGGAGGTTTCCTCTCTCTGGATGTCGGTACTGAGTGAGAGTGAAGTTGGAGCTGGCTCTGCAGTGGCATGATCTTGAACCCAAGATACTGTGGCCAAGACAAGTATTTTGTAAACTCTGGGTTGGGGGCAGTAGAAAGGCCCAGTCCTGTGGAGAGATGAACAACACCCAGGACAGTTGGAGGGCTTGATCACTATTCACTGAATGGCCTGGAGAAGACCCAACCTTCCTGTGTTTCCACTTCCTCATCAGCAAAATGGGGACATTCCCCTTTGGGCCTCTCCTTCCTTCTCTGTAAAACAGGAGGGGGATGGGCTCCAAGGGTCCTGGGTCCTGTGATTCCGCTTCCTAGCTGTGACCCTGAGCAAGCCACTTCATCTCTCCACATCTTAGTTTCTCCATCTGCCCAATGGGCATTTTACCCCTCCCTACTCTCAGGGTTGCTGAGATCGAATGGGGTGAATGGGGAAGAAAGTGGACACTGATGTGGGCATGGTCCAGCTTTGTCTCCCCCCACTGCCTGAGGAATCTGGGGTGTGCTAGTCCCATGATGCTTGCTTGTAGTGACCTTTGGAATCATCTTCCTGGGGATCTGCTTAAAAACCTGTAGTGGCTCTCCCAAAAGGGATCAAGAAGCAACTTCTGCCTCTCCATTCAAAACCCTCTACCACTCATACCTAATTTTTCCCGCTGTCGAAGACATACCAACAACCTTCCTCAAACAAGCCTTGTACTTTTCCTCCTCCAGACCTTTACTCGTGATTTCAAGGTCCCAATTGTACTTGTCATCTTCTCTCCAGATCTGCTCCTCTTCCCGCTGTTCTCAGAGTTAAAGAGAAGGATACCCCCATGTACCCAGGAGTTGAGGCCTGGAAGCTGGGATGTATTATCTTCAACTCCTTTTCTCTCACGACCCACATATATGTGAGCCCCAAGTCACAAAGATTCTATTCTCTGAGAATCCATCCTATGTGTTTCTCTGATACCCCAGGACCTTGTGGGACATGGGGCGATATAATGGAACAGCCACACGCCTTCTCTATGCTAGGCCCTGTGCTGACACTGGAGGCAAAGAGGTGGTTCACTCTTTATTCCTTAGGAGCCCCTGGCTGGTGGGGAGAGGGTCCTTCAACCACACTCCTGGATTTGCCTATTCAATCCCCTTACCTTTTAAGCCCCTTACCCAGTAGAACATAGTAAGACCTATAAACATGGGTTGAAGAGAGCTGGATTGGCTGAGTGACCAGGAAAAAGCCCTTTCCCTCTCCAGATCTGTTTTGCCGCCTGCATAATGATGTGGAATTGCTTTGAAGAAGGGAAGGTTGGGGGCTTTCCCAGTTCCAACAATCTTGAAAGCAGTGACTCTCCAGGCCAGGGAACAGAGGGAGGGGGGAGACAGAGGTACGGCTGTCTGGACACCCGACAAAAGAGGAGATCTTGCTCCTGCTGAGCAGCTCCCTTGAAGCCCCAACCCCCTTGCCCTCACCTCTCCTCCCAACAGGGTCTAAAGTCCTTTGTAAAGCCTTGCCTAAAACAGAGAGGTCGCTGGTTAGCTTCTTCCCCAAGTCCTGCTGGGTTATCCGACTGGCCCACAGCCTAACCTGGCTGGTGACTGGCAGCTTCTTCCCAGCTGGCACTGGGCTGGAGTCCAGGCTGGGAAAGGAGAGCTCTCGGTCTCTGCCCAGTGGCAGCTGCAGCAAAGGGTTCTAGAGTTACACAGACCTGGGTTCAGACCCCAGCCCTGCTGCTTTTTAGCTGTGACGCTGTGATAATCTTGTGTGTCAACTTGACTGGCTCACAGGGTGCCCTATAGATAGCTTTGGGCTTGGACTAGAACTAAACCATTGGCTTTCCTCAGTCTCCAGCTTGCCAACTCACCCTGCAGATCTTGGGACTTGCTGGCCTCCATAATCATGTAAGCCAATTCTTTATAAGAAGTCTCATATATATAATACATATAATAAATCTTATATAAATATATATAAAAATATAAACATAAGTGTATATATAAATATATGTATGGAGGTATCTGTATCTATCTCCATTCTATTAGTTCTGTTTCTCTATCTTGAAATTTGTAAAAAAATGGAAATAATAATTCCTTGCATAAGTACACTTCCCTGTTTTAGAATTCCCATCATTTACTGAAAAGAACGCCAAAACTTCTTTGCCAGTATGGCAATGTTTTTCTCTGCCCTGCCCCACCCTGGCCTGCCTTTGTCAAGACCCATTTCGCCATGACTGAGTGGATGCTCTGGCTGGACCCCATTCCCTTTCCAGCCTTTGCACCAACTGTTCCCTCCTTTGAAATGCATGTCTTCTCCTCCGTCTCCTTGGTAAACTCTCACGCATCCTCAGGGCCCGTCTCCAAGGTGTGCTCCTCTCAGGGCTTTCCCTGCCTCGGCTAGGAGCTGTCTGCGCCCTCACAGTGCCCAGCACACCCTTGACTGTCACATTATTCATGCCATGTTGGGGTTGTGGGTCTGTCTCCCCGGACTGTGAGCCCCTTGAGGGCCTGACTCCAAATCACTCACCTCTGTACTCAACAGGGTGGTGGTTTCCCCTTCTTTGTGATGGTTTGATGTTTTTCAGTTTATGAAGCACTTTCAGATCCACGATTTCCCTTAAACTCACAGCAACGCAGGGAAGGAGGCAGAGCCAGGACTAAAGCCCGCAGTTCCTCCCACCTCCCCAGACAGGGCTTTTTCAGAAAGGAGAACTCAGCTGAGGAGTGGGCTTGCTTCTTTGGCTCCTAAGGCCTGCAACTCAGCAAGGGCAGGAAAGGCTGGACCCGGCTGGGTTGGGAGAGGGAGGGCCCCAGGCTGGCAGAGGGTGCAAGGGCAGCTGGAGGCCACAGGAGAGGTCTGAGTCCAGATGCGTCCCTCTCTGCGGCGTCTTGGGCAGCTTTCTTCATTTCTCCATCTTCAATCTCTTTAGCTCCATAAAATATGGCTCTGAGGGCCAATGTGGAACACATAAGATAATCAAGGGGTGAGTGCTCTAGGGATGAAAGGGACTGAAGAAACTCCACAGATACAGTAAATATATGCACCCAAATATATTCAAACACTTCCACTATTCCCATTTCCTGACGAGTGATCTGTTACCCTTAGAACCCCCTTCCCTGGGTCCACAGTATCCAAACACCCCTCATCAGAACCCAGAGGCCCCGAATGGGGTCAACATTCCCTTAGGGTCGAAAGATACCCATCCCACTTCAGGGCCTGAAGGCCCAGTGCCCGAAGGCTTAGAGCTTCCTACAGTTTACAGTTCTTTCTGAAGGTAGTGGCCACATCCCCTAGAGGCCTGTCCAGCCCTTGTGTGCAGCTTATGATCCATTTCATTCAAACGCAGTCCTGTTAGCAACCTCAAGGGCATAAAGAACCATAGTTCGAGTGTCTGCTCTGAGCTAAGGGCTACCAGCAAGGCTGGGAAAACTATCGGGGATTCCTGGGCACCCTCAGGCTCAGCACGGGGCTGTCCCCAAGTCAAAAATATCCCTTGGGCCACCGTCACGTCCCTCCAGGAAGCTGTTTTCCAGGAAAGTCCCTTGGGTGTCTGTCATCCCAGGGATGGTCCGGCCCAAGACAAAGCTGGGAAAGACAGCTGTGGTTTTCCTCCCTGATCTGGCTAGGTATCTCAGGGCCCAGTTATGGGTTCTTGTCCTGGTTCTGACTTGCTGTATGGACACTGGTTAGTCATTTGGACTTCCTAGGTTTCAGTTTGCCTCTGGATGGGGAGAATGGGCCCTGTCTCACAGAGGATCCATAAAGATCAAAGATACGGAAATTCTTTGCTGTTAACATTTGAATGATGGGAACAAAATACTGATTGATGGGAGGGGGCTGTGAAGCAGATCTCCCGTATGGCCAGATGACCTTGGACAAGTCATCATGACTTGGTAACACTCTTCCCTCTGCTGCTTCATCGAGTAAGCTGGTTCCTCTGCACCTCAGGTTCGAATACCTTCCCTGTCTGCCCACAGACGTCAGCTCCCTGTTATAAAGATCTCCAGCTACCTATGTTTTTCTAAACAACCAAAACAATAGTAAATATTTAATTATTGACATGCTTATTTGTTTAGCGTCTATCCTCCCAACCAGATGGTGGGCTCCTTGCAGGAGTCCTGTCTGACCTGTTCGCGAGGTCAACATGGGGCCTGACCCATAGGTGCTCAGTAACTGTTTCTGCATCACCTGGCAGGTTGTGTGAGTCTCAGCTGCCTCACTGGGCTGCTGGAGAAACCTGGAAGATAGAGGATGAGGCCACAAGTGTGAGGCATCAGGGATGAATGGGCTCTTCTGTGAAGGGCTTCATCAAGAGACTGGAGAGGAGGAAGCGCCCTGAACAGGAAGGCATGATGGCCTTTGGCCTTGGGGGGAGGGGAGGAGATGATGTGGGCCAAGATGGGACTCCAGAGGCTCCAGGCCCTCCCAGATGCCCATGA